CTATTTGTGCGAATTAGGATTTTCAACATTAACAACCATAAAAAATAATAAACGATCACAATTGAAAAATGTTGAGGACGAATTGAGAGTTGCTCTCTCAACAATAAAACCAAATATAGAAGAGATAACAAAACATCGTCAATCACATATTTCTCACTAAAATACATGTTTATTACAGGTTTCTTTATTTTGTATTTATACTATTAATTATTACTCATTTTTTATTTTATTATAGGAAATGTTTCTATATTGTTCTTATATTCATATTATAATAAATCTTTCTTTTAAATTCTTTTCTATTTATTTATTTATAGTTAAAAGTAATTTTTTTAAAGTTGGAGTGCCCTCAATAAAAATTTTTTTCGAAAATGTACCGCGAGAGAAAAAACTTTGAGAAACACTGCTCTACAGTTAATATTATATCAACTTCTTAATCATAACATTACTGCGCCTCAAACAAGCAGCCTCGGCTTTACTTACAGTTAAAAATGTATAATTTCATCAGATTAAGCCGAGATTGCTTTTGGTCAAATCACTACAATCATCATATTATAGCGCCTCGAACAAGCAGCCTCAGCTTTACTTACAGTTAAAAATGTATAATTTCATCAGATTAAGCCGAGATTGCTTTCGGTCAAGTCACTACAATCATCATATTGTAGCATCTCGCCCACAAATGGCCTCGGCTTTATCAAATAAAGTTAAAGTTAAAAAAATTACCTTAATTCGATCTTCTTTAGAATGTAATATTGATGCAACCTCAATTATTATTTTATAAACATTTAATGAACTTTTTAATAAAACCTGAAAATATTGATCCATAAATGATAAAATAACATCTCTCCCAAAAACATTAAAACAATAAATTGATTCAAACGCAACTTGACGATCTAAATTTCGCATCAGACTTTGATTATTTACAATTTTATCTATATAATTTATTAAAATTTGTTCGTTCTCAACGCATCCAAGCGCTACTAGAATCCTTTTCTTTCTAAATTCAACGTTTTCCTCTAAATATCTTTTATACATATCCTCCCAGTCGTTTATATCGGCTTTTCTCAAACCGCCACAAAATACGTATTCTTCCATATTTGGCGATAAAACAACCGTATTATTAGATTTAAATTCTCGTAAAGTCTCAAAAGCGCTTGATTCGCATTGCGGGTCACGTAGATAACAAATTTGTGTCATTACAGCCACTCTCGTAAGCTTCGTCACGTGATCGTCTTCTTCCTTTTCATGAAACGTGAGCTGTTCAACTACATTTTTCAAACTCCTCAAGACGTACCCCTAAAAGATTTTATTTTATGCGTTGTTAATAATGTAAATGTTTCTACTTTAAATAAGTGTTCCACTTCTGATCGTTCAAGTTTATTAGCAAGGAAGACCATTTCAGTTAAAAATGTTTTAATAGGTAGATAATCCAATTCCTCAGACATATACATGCTTAAATCTAGGGCAACGGCATAAGTTAATTCACCAGATTTCGCAAGATTAAATACGTCGTTAATTAACTGAGCTCGATTGACTGGGATAACGTTCGTGAACGTCTTTGTTTTAAGATAATTTATTATTCGATCCCAATTATTCATATCATAATTCACTCTATAGAAACCTAATATAATACAAAGAAATGTTTTAATTAAGAAATTTTAAATCTATATTATCTTAACCTGTTTGTTGTTTATTTGCAATAACAAAGCCATTAACGGGAAAATTGTCGTTTATTTGAAAATCTCGTTTATCAAACCAAAAATCGGCGGAGGTGTTTGAAAAATCGAAATCATCTCTTCTCGAAAACATAAAATTTATTGGAATTGGCCAGATTAGATTTTTGTTTACGGTTTTATATTTTTTGATTAAAAATCGTTTCTAGAAAATAAAAATAAATCGATATTTATAAAAAATATAAACAAAAATAAAAACTAGTGTAATCACGGATTTGGAATGTAATAATTTCTTTTTGACAAAAATAAACATTTTTAATTTGCAAGAAATAGTTTCTAAAAGAAATGCACAATCGAACATCCATGAAACACTCTCTGTATCGATTTGTATGTACAATGATACAATAAAGTTTACATACACCCCAAAAAATGATAATATCTCAGCTCCTGAAATGTAATTAATGTTAATTAATGCACTTTTTACCACTGTCTCTAGAACTAACATTAGATCTAGAACTAGAAACATTCAGATTTAGCCGTCTTGAGAGACGTGCGGCTAAACTCGAATGATAAACTTTCTAGTTCTAGGTCTAGTGTTAGTTTTAGTTTTACACTATCACTAGAACTAACACAAGACCTAGAACTAGAATAATTCGGGTTTAGCCGTCTTGAGAGACGTGCGGCTAAATCCGAATGTTTCTAGTTCTAGATCTAGTGTTAGTTCTAGTTTTGCACTATCACTAGAACTAACACAAGACCTAGAACTAGAATAATTCGGGTTTAGCCGTCTTGAGAGACGTGCGGCTAAATCCGAATGTTTCTAGTTCTAGATCTAGTGTTAGTTCTAGTTTTGCACTATCACTAGAACTAACACAAGACCTAGAACTAGAATAATTCGGGTTTAGCCGTCTTGAGAGACGTGCGGCTAAATCCGAATGTTTCTAGTTCTAGATCTAGTGTTAGTTCTAGTTTTGCACTATCACTAGAACTAACACAAGACCTAGAACTAGAATAATTCGGGTTTAGCCGTCTTGAGAGACGTGCGGCTAAATCCGAATGTTTCTAGTTCTAGATCTAGTGTTAGTTCTAGTTTTGCACTATCACTAGAACTAACACAAGACCTAGAACTAGAATAATTCGGGTTTAGCCGTCTTGAGAGACGTGCGGCTAAATCCGAATGTTTCTAGTTCTAGATCTAGTGTTAGTTCTAGTTTTGCACTATCACTAGAACTAACACAAGACCTAGAACTAGAATAATTCGGGTTTAGCCGTCTTGAGAGACGTGCGGCTAAATCCGAANATAAATAGTGCTAGTTAGCATAAGATATCACTATGTTGTATATTTTTATTGAACTGAAACTAGAACTAACACTAGACCTAGAACTGAAAGTATCGGGTTCAGCCGCACATCTCTCAAGACGGCTAAACCCGAATGATTCTAATTCTAGGTCTTGTGCTAGTTCTAGTGATAGTGCTATTGCAAAACTAAATCCAACACTAGACCTAGAATCATTCGGGTTTAGCCGCACGTCTTTCAAGACGGCTAAACCCGAATGATTCTAGTTCAAGGTTTAGCACTGCATAACAATTAAAACTAGAACTAACACTAGACCTAGAACTAGAAAGTTTCGGGTTTAGCCGTGCGTCTTCAGAACTTTCTAGTTCTAGGTCTAGTGTTAGTTCTAGATTTAATTGTTATGCAGTGCTAAACCTAGAACTAGAATCATGATTCTAGTTCTAGATCTAGTGTTAGTTCTAGTTTTGCACTATCACCAGAACTAACACTAGATCTAGAACTAGAAAGTATCGGGTTTGGCCGCACATCTCTCAAGACGGCTAAACCTGAATGATTCTAGTTCTAGGTCTTGTGTCAGTTGTAATGATAGTGCTATTGCAAAACTAAATCCAACACTAGACCAAGAACTAGAATCATTCGGGTTTAGCCGCACGTCTCTCAAGACGGCTAAACCCGAATGATTCTAGTTCTAGGTCTTGTGTTAGTTCTAGTGATAGTGCTAGTGTAAAACTAGAACTAACACTAGACCTAGAACTAGAAACATTCGGGTTTAGCCGCACGTCTCTCAAGACTGCTAAATCCAAATTATTTGAGTTCTAGGTTCTAGGTTCTGCGTCTTCAGACGCACGGCTAAACCCGAACGTTTCCAGTTCTAGGTGTAGTGTTAGTTCTAGTTTCAGTTCAATAAAAATATACAACATAGTGATATCTTATGCTAACTAGCACTATTTATCACTGTGTCTAGAACTAACATCAGACCTAGAACTAGAAACATTCGGGCTTAACCGCACGTTTCACAAGACTGCTAAACCCGAATGATTCTAGTTCTAGGTCTTGTGTTAGTTCTAGTGACAGTGTAAAACTAGAACTAACACTAGATCTAGAACTAGAAACATTCGGATTTAGCCGTACGTCTCTCAAGACGGCTAAACCCGAATTATTCTAGTTCTAGGACTTGTGTTAGTTCTAGTGATAGTGTAAAACTAAAACTAACACTAGACCTAGAACTAGAATCATTCGGGTTTAGCCGTCTTGAGAGACGTGCGGTTAAACCCGAATGATTCTAGTTCTTGGTCTAGTGTTGGGTCCAGTTTTGCAATAGCACTATCATTAGAACTAACACAAGACCTAGAACTAGAATTATTCGGGTTTAGCCGTCTTGAGAGATGTGCGGCTAAACCCAATACTTTCAGTTCTAGGTCTAGTGTTAGTTCTAGTTTCAGTTCAATAAAAATATACAACATAGTGATATCTTATGCTAACTAGCATTATCACTGTCTCTAAAACTAACACTAGATCTAGAACTAGAAACATTCGGGCTTAGCCGCACGTCTTTCAAGACTGCTAAACCCGAATTATTCTAGTTCTAGGTCTTGTGTTAGTTCTAGTGATAGTGCTAGTGCAAAACTAGAAGTAATACTAGACCAGAACTAGATACTTTTTAGTGTTAGTTCTAGTTTTAGTTCAATAAAAATATGCAACTTAATGATATTTTATGCTAACTACGCTACTTACCACTGTCTCTAGAACTAACATTACACCTAAAAATAGCAACATTCAGGTTTAGCCGTTTAAAGAGACGCACGGTTAAACAGAATGTTTTTAGTTCTAGGTCTAGTGCTAGTGTTTTGTGTCTTGTTATTCAGCTCTAGATAGTCGTATATTTTTATTGAGCTATAACTAATAATAGACTTTTTTTTAGGACTCTATGTATAACATAGAGTCCTAAAAATTGTAACATATGTCTTGTGTTAGTTCTAGTGATAGTGCAAAACTAGAACTAACACTAGATCTAGAACTAGAAACATTCGGATTTAGCCACACGTCTCTCAAGATGGCTAAACCCGAATTATTCTAGTTCTAGGTCTTGTGTTAGTTCTAGTGACAGTGGAAAACTAGAACTAACACTAGACCTTCTAGACCCACTAGTCTTCAGACGCACGGCTAAACCCGAAACTTTCTAGTTCTAGGTCTAGTGTTAGTTCTAGTTCTAATTGTTATGTAGTGCTAGACCTAAAACTAGAATCATTCGGGTTTAGCCGTCTTGAGAGACGTGCGGCTAAACCCGAATGATTCTAGTTCTTGGTCTAGTGTTGGATTTAGTTTTGCAATAGCACTATCACTAGAACTAACACAAAACCTAGAACTAGTTTAGCCGTCTTGAGAGATGTGCGGCTAAAGCTAGTGCTAGTGCAAAACTAGAACTAATACTAGATCTAGAACTAGAACTAGATACTTTTTAGTGTTGGTTCTAGTTTTAGTTCAATAAGCATATACAACTTAATGATATTTTATGCTAACTACGCTACTTACCACTGTCTCTAGAACTAACATTAGACCTAAAAGTAGCAACATTCAGGTTTAGCCGTTTTAAGAGACGCACGGTTAAACAGAATGTTTTTAGTTCTAGGTCTAGTGCTAGTGTTAGTCTAGTTTTATTTGTTATTCAACTCTAGATAGTCGTATATTTTTATTGAGCTATAACTAATAATAGACTTTTTTTAGGACTCTATGTAGACTTTTTTGAGTTAAAGATATGATTATGTTTTGTGTTCCCCTTGATTAATAATAACTTATATAATTTCTATGTAAAATATGGAAATAATATGGACTTCTTAAATGTTTTGTTAAGATATTATCATTTTTCGGGCTGTATGTAAACTTTATTGTATAACTGTATATAAGTTATAGGCAGATGGTTATTGTAGGAAAACATTTTCCCAAAGTCAAAATCAGACATAAAAAGATATCCCAGAAATCCTAACCCGGAATCATATATCAATAAATAGAAAATAGCATACTACGTGCTAAATGATTATCTTGGGCAAAAATATCAAAAATAGATAACATACAGAAAAACATTCCTAAAACAACCATTTACCTCCAACACTACTTAAATACTTGTTTTAACGTAATCGCTCCAGTTTTATAATTCCTATTCATTTTTACAACAGGATATCCTTCTTGATTCATCCACGAGCTCAATACATAACTAATATTAAACCCATTTAACATAGAACTCTTATTAGTGATATCAATTTCTGTTTGAAATGCTTGATAAAGATCGTCCGGTGTAGCTGTATTAAATTTTTTTGTCATTAAATACATGTTGAGAGCATCCTTAAAAATTGGTTTTGTTAAAAAATGTTTTGCCATGCGAATTATAGCGGCAGCTTTATTATAAGTTATCATAATTGGAGCACCCTCGTTGTCAGAACTTTCGTAATTCATTGGAACAGATTTATTAGTGCTATCATAATGAAGAGCTTCATGGATTACGAAGAGAAATTGTTCGTTTAATCTCCATGTGGGCTCGACCTAAAAAAATTGCGTAAAAATTGCGGTATATTTTTAAATTAAACTAACGAGGGAAGCCGCTAAATATTCGAAATATGTAGCAAATCCTTCGTTTAACCAAGAATATTTCCACCAATTTAACGTCACTAAGTTTCCAAACCATTGGTGTGCATTTTCGTGGGAGATAACTGTACAAACGTCTTGTTTTTGATTATTGGTTGAGTGATCCTTAGAATATAATAAATACGATTCTCTATAAGTTATTAATCCCCAATTTTCCATTGCCCCTAAAAATGGTTTATCTGGAATCGCAACTTGATCCAATTTCGGTAATGCATATGGTATTCCAAAATAAGCTTCAAGAACTTTTTGGACTTTTAATCCAGTTTTTAAAGCGTATTCGCCAAATCCTTTATTAATATTTTCGGATTTTCCAAAAACCCTTTGGTTGTTTTCGCTAATAGATGTGAATTGAGATACAATTAGAGCCACTAAATATGTTGACATAGAAACTGTTTCTGCGTAAACATCTTTGTATAAACCATTACCTAAATCACTGAGTTAATTAATAAGTTATATAAAAGTAATAAATAAATTGTTTACATCGTTTTTGATAGTGGCGAATTAGATATTGAATTGTAATCGTTTGACCTGATTATAGAAATATTAAAGGTAGCTTTATACTCTGGTTCATCGAAACAAGGAAATGCTTTTCTTGCTGCTGAAGGTTCAAATTGGCTGGCGATAAATGTTCTTAGAAAAAAGGAAAAATTAATGATGAAATTTAATTAAATAAATAAGTTTACTTTTCTTGATTATTTTCGGTATATTTTCCAAAAAATAATCCGTCGATATCATTTTGTAAAGTACCAATATATTTGGTGAAAATTATAACATATTTTTTATCCTTCAACATTTTTTTATCCATTGTAATAATAAAGAAATTGCTTTCTTCATTTCTTGAGACATAATTTATTAAAACCAAATTTCCAAATGTATCTGTAACTTTTACCGCGTTGTCATCTATAGATAATTTCTCAGCATGCAATGTTAAATTAATGGTATTTTCTACAACGACTATTTTTATTGCAGCACTTCCTTTAAACGCAGGATTATTTGTATTTAGGTTTAAAGCAGGTTCTAATGTAATATCATAACTGATCGGTTTTATACTTTTCGGTAATCTTATTCCATTAGATTGCTTTGTATAAGGTTTATAAGGGCATGGACATTCAATTGATAATTTTAATAAAGATATTGAGATAAAGAGAATTAAGTCTTTGCCATGTAATACATACATCTGACATTTTCTTTCAAATTTGACATATCGATTGTAAAAACTAATTTTTAATATTTATGATCAATACATTGTGTAAAATCACGATTCTGCATCAAGGTCATTGACTCTAATTGTAAGTAAGAAATTTTATGTTACGTTATGGCTGTTGTGCAATGTTTGAAATTGTCAAGGTCAAAGTGATTTAATAACTTACATTACATAGATTATATATTGGGTAGGCGGACCAACCAACTCTGCAACCAACTATGCACTGTCAGCGAAGTCTTTCTTCAGTCCACAGTCCAGTGTCGGCGCTAGTAAATGAAGCGCCGACACTGGACTTTAATTAAAGAAAAAAAATATGATCAAAGAATATAAAAAAGACTAGAATAATCATAATCCATACTTCAGCAAAAATTTAAGAATTATACTGGTGAAAAACCAAACTTAAGGGAATAGTCTGGTCAGAAGGTTAATTTGCAAGAAAAAGTCTGAAATTGCAAGAGTTATAAACTAGACTTCAACAAAAAACAGGAATTACATTGTTCAAAGTCCACATGAAGTCTGAAATTACTGTTCGGAGAAAACAAAAAATTGATTATAAATCAAACATGATTTTTCATGGCAATACTTATGTGTTCAATAAAAGAATGCGAAGAATATGAACAAGAAACCAATGGACTTGTCTTGTTATTGCACAGGACAGGAAATCACCAATACGGAAACTTTGCCAATGCAGGATAAGCACAAAAGCAAAGTAACAGCTGCAGAAATGAGGTACCGGGTGGTACAAGATCCGTATAGATAATAAGAGGCTCCCAAAAAGATGATGATAGACACCCAGAAAGAAGTAGCTGTCAGTATCAAGAACAAAACATACATAACGTTGGCAGAAGACTAGATACTGCTTCTAAAAAACTAAATACTGCTTTCTGAAGACTAGATACTGCTCTGGAAGATTAAATACTGCTTTCTGAAGACTAGATACTGCCGACAGGTCTAAATACAGCATCTGGAACACTAAATACTGCTTTCTAAAGACTAAAATTGCTTTGTGGAGACTAAATACTGCTTTCTGAAGACTAGATACTGCTAACAGGTCTAAATAATGCAAAAGAAAGAAAATATTATGGAGAAAACATATATAACTTCGGCAGAAGACTAGATACTGCTTCTAGAAGACTAGATACTGCTTCTAGAAGACTAGATACTGCTTCTAGAAGACTAAATACAGCTTTCTGAAGAGTAGATACTTCCGACAGGTCTAAATACAGCGTCTGGAACACTAAATACTGCCTTCTAAAGACTAAAATTGCTTTGTGGAGACTAAATACTGCTTTCTGAAGACTAGATACTGCTAACAGGTCTAAATACTGCAAAAGAAAGATAAAATATTTTGGAGAAAACATACATAACTTTGGCAGAAGACTAGATACTGCTTCTAGAAGACTAAATACTGCTTTCTGAAGACTAGATACTGCTAACAGGTCTAAATACTGCAAAAGAAAGATAAAATATTTTGGAGAAAACATACATAACTTTGGCAGAAGACTAGATACTGCTTCTAGAAGACTAAATACTGCTTTCTGAAGACTAGATACTGCTAACAGGTCTAAATACTGCAAAAGAAAGATAAAATATTTTGGAGAAAACATACATAACTTTGGCAGAAGACTAGATACTGCTTCTAGAAGACTAAATACTGCTTTCTGAAGACTAGATACTGCTAACAGGTCTAAATACTGCAAAAGAAAGATAAAATATTTTGGAGAAAACATACATAACTTTGGCAGAAGACTAGATACTGCTTCTAGAAGACTAAATACTGCTTTCTGAAGACTAGATACTGCTAACAGGTCTAAATACTGCAAAAGAAAGATAAAATATTTTGGAGAAAACATACATAACTTTGGCAGAAGACTAGATACTGCTTCTAGAAGACTAAATACTGCTTTCTGAAGACTAGATACTGCTAACAGGTCTAAATACTGCAAAAGAAAGATAAAATATTTTGGAGAAAACATACATAACTTTGGCAGAAGACTAGATACTGCTTCTAGAAGACTAAATACTGCTTTCTGAAGACTAGATACTGCTAACAGGTCTAAATACTGCAAAAGAAAGATAAAATATTTTGGAGAAAACATACATAACTTTGGCAGAAGACTAGATACTGCTTCTAGAAGACTAAATACTGCTTTCTGAAGACTAGATACTGCTAACAGGTCTAAATACTGCAAAAGAAAGATAAAATATTTTGGAGAAAACATACATAACTTTGGCAGAAGACTAGATACTGCTTCTAGAAGACTAAATACTGCTTTCTGAAGACTAGATACTGCTAACAGGTCTAAATACTGCAAAAGAAAGATAAAATATTTTGGAGAAAACATACATAACTTTGGCAGAAGACTAGATACTGCTTCTAGAAGACTAAATACTGCTTTCTGAAGACTAGATACTGTCGACAGGTCTAAATACAGCGTCTGGAACACTAAATACTGCTTTCTAAAGACTAAAATTGCTTTGTGAAGACTAGATACTGCTGACAGGTCTAAATACTGCAAAAGAAACATAAGATATTGTTGGAGAAAACATTAAAAAGGCGCCGGCGCCCCCTTTTAGGCGACGCCCGGGTGCAGTGCACCCCTTGCACCCCCCGATAGCGCCACCTCTGCCGCAGTCCAATCCTATGTTTGGTCATCGCAAATGAAACATATACAAACTGCTGGCTCTAGCCCTACAAACGCTTTAGCGCTGCCCTCTCGTGCTAGTTCATCTGCCGCTTCATTGCCAGCAACCCCAGAGTGACCAGGGACCAGATCAGAGAAACTCTGTTATTACTACTCAGTGTATTTAAAGTTCTTTTAAAATCGTACTGTCATGTTCTTTACCCCTCTCTCAAGAAGGATTGAAGGATTTTAGCACCCAAGTCAATAGCAAATACTTCTGCCTGGAATAGAGTACAATACGTACCCAGGTTGTAAACTTGCTTAATCCAATGTGTCTGACAGTATCTGTGAGCATGCAAACATCTGCCTGAACCTGAGAATTCGATCCATGACTGCCATTCAGGCAGTACAATGGTTTAATAATATGAGTAGGGAATAAAAATAATGGGCAATTTGGAATAAAACATGTTATAAACAATAAAATACCACATCATATAAATTTCTAAGAAATTCTTTATTAAATTGAGTTTACAAAAAAAAAAGTAATATCTTGTATATCATAAAACACTATTTTTTTTATAAATCGCTCTGGGGACGTGTCTCGATCCAAGATTTGATCGCTGGAACGGAACGCACGTTATTAGCGACGGCTTGCAAGTTGGGATACTTTTCGATCATGTTGGTTCCAAGCATAAAGTTAAGATAATCCAATAATCCGGTAAAATAGATATCGGCCCACGTAAGTTTTTTTAGCGCGAAATGACCGTTGTTTTTCTCGGCGATGCTTTCCAAACGCGTCAAATAAAACGGAAGTGTTTCCTCAATTAACGGACCTTTACGAGATTCTTTTACTGCCGCGTCTTGTTCATACCAATAATAAGCAATTTCTGAAAATAAAAATAAAACAGAACTAACGAAACATTTAAGAGATTATTTCCTTTAATTTACTTTGCCGTAAATCATTAATTGTGTCTACAACGGAGTCAATTTCTAAATTTTCCCAATCGGAATCTCCAACCAATTTAACTTTTTTAGCTACGTATCTTGTAATAGCAATACTTTGATGAGCTATTCTACCTGCTTCTTCATAAATTGGGACTTGACCAAACGGCATATCTATAATTTAATTAATTTTTTGTTAATTATTTTATCTTAGAGTTAATATATAAATTACCTGGTTTGATATTGGGCCAATTTTCCTGTTGAAATCGGTTATCATCAAAATTGATGTTACCGTACTTGAGGAGCATTCGAATCGGCTCCGCGAGAGCTTTAACCGGGAAATACGTGATTTTGATCTCGGACATGTCTGTTATTGGCTTCTGAAATTACAAGAATAATCGTGAAAACTCCGAGAATTCTGAATTGAAGTTTTAGATCGTTTCAATGCCTGTCATAACGTTTTATTGATTACACTATTTATTAAAACGATAAAAGAAATAATAACGGTTGTTATAACAACGGATGTGTTTCATATATTTTATGTATGTATCACAAATATATAATAATAAAATAAAATATTAAAGAATTTTTAAATATTTATGTTTTTCCAAGAATAGATTTTATTGATTATACGTTTTTATACAGTGTTCACCAAAAGTTAGCAACACGCGGTTTTTTTTTGTCCATCGCGTACTTAAGGGAATCCAATTTTAGCGTACCACGGCCCCAAATTTCGGATATAAAGAAACAGAAGGGATTTTACCCCTGAATGAACTGTAAATTACTGGGGCCTAAGTGCTTTAAGGGGCACACCTAGTGTGACCGCCTTAAAAAAAGGTGTTTTTCTTTAATTTTCTTAAAGAAAATTACTGGCTGAAATGTTTTAAAATTTTGAGGATATATTTATACATAGGTAGTAAGTATACACATAAATTTTCAAATGAAAAAAATTAATTTTCAGCGAGTTATTCGCTATCTCCCAAGTCACCAGGTTCTCCACTGCTGCAGTGATTGCAGCTTTTACCGTGGCTGAAATTAAAAAAAATAAACAGATTATTAAACTAGAAGGTATTGCCTATACAATGACCCACGATTATGAAAAAAAAATTTAAATTTTACAAAATGGCAGAGTTTTGAAAAAAATGTCGTATTTTGCTCAAAAATTGAATGATTTTTGGCCCATTTTTCATACAATCGAAGAACTGGAGGGTCATTGTACAGAGAAACATATATAAAATATGCAGAAAAAAAATCACAGCGATTGGATGATTTGTTTTCGAGTTACAACAACTGCAGCAAATTTGAAAAATGTAGTTTAGAGAAAAACGCGTTTAAAGATAAAAAATGATTGATTTCATTGTTTTTAATAGATAAAAATCATACTTACAGCTAATCAGCTATTCCAGGCCCATATAATTCACCTTCATCTTCTTCATAATGTGCCTGCTGGGCTGTTGAAGCACTTCTTCGAAATGATCGACCTTCTTTCGTGGCAGCCTGTTGGCGATGCTCTGCTACTCGTAATCTTGTTTCATCTTTGCTAGCGGCAAAATCCCTTGCTGCAGGTCCAATTATCACTCCCATCACGTTAAATATTTTTAAAATTGATGAATAACCGTCATTGAATATTGACGTAGCAAAGTAAATCAATTCAATAGTTTTGAGACCATTGTGGAGGTGTTTCGGAGCAAAGTGCCAAAGTAAACCATTGTAGCTTTCGTTATTATTCTGAACTACTTCTTGAACTTTCGGATCAAGTGGGAGATAATCGTGCTTGAAGTTCAATCCTTCAGCTTCCGCGCGGCGATAAGCGCACCAACTCTCTGCGCCTTCTGGACAACTCGCATGGTTTGGATTCTTATCACTCGAACTCAAATGATGAAATGTAGCCCAGATTGCTTTATGCATTTTATCTACATTATCTTGATGTCGCATGATCGCTAGGCCGTAATACTTTTGAAGTTTATTAATTAAGTTGACACTTAATTTTAGCGTGGTTTTACTTTTTCCTCCTAAGCTCTTATTGGCTTTCTTCAAACTACGGCATCGTGATCCCATTCTTTTTTTAACATGTAGACAGCACTCTAGTTTTTCTATCAGAATATTATATGGATTCAAATCTAATAATCCTTTATATGTGGCACTATCACCATCACCAATATATCGCGAATATTTCACACCGTATTCACTAATCGAGCGACCAAACATGTCTTTCACACTGTCGACTTCCATTTTTGAAGCTGATCCTTTATGATTTATGTCACAATCATCTTCGTGTAGTGAGAGCCATTCTTCGTAAGCTTCAGGATCGCTGTCTTTTTTATTTTTCCAAAAGACACAACTGTGACAGTAAGTAGACTTTACACCCGAATCGATGATTTTTTTACAATATTTTCCTGCAAGAGTTACTACACCAAAACGTGAAGTATGCCCACGTTTTCTCCACGTGCCATCTCCAGAAACAGTCAAATTTGTGTCTGAATTTTCCTTCTCTAATGTCTGCTTCTTCTCTTCTTCTACAGCTCTTTGCATACTGAATTTACAAACCGATTCTGCTGCTGTCCATAAATTCGTGAAACATCCAGCGAAAGTTTGATGATAAAATTTACTTGCTAAATCCATCAAACCGCAAAAAAGATTAATTCCGTTTATTCCGATACCCAAAAGACGCACCACTCCTGAGATGCTCCGTTA